TACAACTCTCCCCGCTCTCCCCTACCTTTGTTTTTCTGGATCGTGTTGCGTGAAAAGGCGTATTGAAGGCCAGAATCTTACTCATTTTTGTCTCAACCGTGCGAGCACCAGGGGATGATCCAGGAAAACTCCAAGGGGATGGTCATGAATTTAATTCGTGGTGCCCCTGCCCCCTACCTATACGCAAAATTAAAAACTCAACGGATTTCGGCCACTTAATTTTGGTGATGTCCTATTTCCATTTTTTTATTTTGTTTGTTTTATTTTTAGTGCCCCTGGGCCCTGGCAGGTCAAAATCACGTCGGAGGCGAAAGAAATTCACGGGAATCCCAAAAATCACGTCAGGACATTCAGGGCACTCTGACCAGCCTGACAGCTAGGGCCCTTCTTACTTCCTGGGGCCTCCAGTGAATAACCGCTAGTGTCTGTGTCGGCCCCTCTGACTCCTCAGTAGGTAGGAGGCCCTCTGTAGAGGAGACCCTCTGTGGAAAGGAGACCGCCTGAATGCAGAAGGCCCTCTGAAGAGAGGAGACCCGCTGTAGAGAGAAGGCCCCCTGAAGAAAGGAGGCTCTCTGTAGAGAAGAGGCCCTCTGAAGAGAGGAAGCCCTTTGCAGAGATGAGGTCCTCTGGCTCTTTGAAGAGAGGAGGTCCTCTGTAAAGGAGGCCCTCTGAAAGGGAGAGACCCTCAGTAGAGAGGAAGCCCTCTGTAGAGAGGAAGCCTTCTGTAGTTAAGAGGCCCTGTGAAAAGAGGAGGCCCGCAGTAGAGATCGGTGGTCCTCTGTAGAGAGGAGACCCCCTCTGTGTTTTGACAAATGTTTTTGCAAATTTTTCGCGGCGCTTCGCGCCGCCGATTCATGTACATACGTACAGGTCAATATGAAATCGTGACTGTAATTACATAAACCAACCGTGTCAAATTGAATCAGAATTCATATGTGTACTGTGAAGAAACTCCGGCTTGTACTGCCATGCTAAAAGGGTGGTAAAATTTGTGTTTTGGAGCGGAGCTGTGTTTTGACACATTCTTTTGCAAATGTTCTCGGCGCTTCGCGCCGCCGATTTATACACCAATCAATAAGAGAGATCGTGACTGTAATAACACCAACCGTGTCAAATTGAATCGGAATTCATATGTGCACTGTGAAGGAACTCCGGCTTGTACTAGCATGCTAAAAGGGTTGTAATATTTGTGTTTTAGAGCTGTGTTTTGACAACTTTTTTTCAAATTTTTGCGGCGCTTCGCGCCGCCGATTCATACACAGGTCAATAAGAGAGATCGTGACTGTATGCTACTAATGCATTGGGCATTAGACTAATGCATAAGTGAGGTAACTATATCTACTACTTCTGGGTTTTTAAGTCGGTCGATCCGCCCCCCCCCCCCCCAGTAAAAAAATCCGTGGCGACGCTCCTCTATAGGTGGGTTTCACTAACTAAAACTACTGAGCCGAGTGACTTACGATAAAACTTCAACTCAGAAACGACGAAGATCAAATGTCATTTGATCTCGACATACTCGCTCCCTACCCCCCCCCCCCGGTCGTCAGAATTCATTCATCAGACCTGGCATGTCGGCCGACTGGTGACCCCCCCCAAAACGTTCCCCTAGATCCGCCCTTGCTAACTACAATTGTGGCGCTATTGATACGAATATGAAACAGCAAAAATTTTAGGTTTTAGGTTAGGTTAGGTTGTAGGTTTGTAGGTTTTAGGTTGTAGGTAGGTAGGTTTGTAGGTTAGGTTAGGTTAGGGTAGGTTTGTAGGTTGTAGGTTGGTAGGTTATAGGTAAGTAGGTAAGGTTAGGTCAGGTTTGATTATGTTTTTTTCTTTTATTTGCGAGACATATGAGTATCATTTTTGGATTCAGGATGTCAAATAATGTAAAAATATGAAAAATTTATTAATGAAATCTTCTTAGGACTTAAACTTGACATTTACCCATATTTATAGTCACCGTGCCTATATTGATAATGATATAGACCTACACAACGCAAACACAACGTACACACCGCGCTACCTACCTATATGCACGCTTGATGAAGAAAGGCTCCTCAAAATATATCAATATATGAGACAAGGTACCTATATAAAAACACTTCAACTTTGAGATATGAAATGTCAATGCAATATTGAAATGCTTTTGATGCATTCCAGCTCTATTCAAAAGAGCTATTAGAAGCACATTTACCTTTTCGGTTTCCATAGAAACTGACAGAGTTTAAATCAAAGCTTCGCTAAATTGACCAATGGAGTATTTTTACGTTTCTTTTGCCGTAATAAGTGTTATTTGGCAAAAAATTACCGACGTCAGTAAGCTAAAAACGCTCAGGGCAGCTTTTTTGCATGACATATTTGAGTGATGACATATGACAAAATAAGGAAATGTTGCTATCGAACACGGAAAATAAACTGGAGTTGCGTTAGGTTTGAAAGAGATGCGCCAGAAAGATTAGTAAGCTGCTACTAAATGAAAGTTTTTAGATCAAAATGGTATCGAGGCATACAGCTTAGACTGAATTTGCATATGACGAGGAAAGATTTGCTGTGAAAAGCTGCTTTACAGAATATTGTATACAGTACAGACTTCCGTGAAAATCGTCTTGCGTTGCAAATCAAAGAAACTGATGATCATGATGCGGTAAGCTGGACATGTTCAGGACAGGGACATCTGGTGAGTGAATGAATGAATGAATGAATGTATTTGTCCACGACCCCATTTGGGGTAAGGGAACTGGGCTGCATGTAGGTTGCGATTATGTACACATGAAACGACGATATAAACATACAAACGGGAGGATGGCTCGCATATAGCAGCGACTCCCAACACACTCATCAGACACATATATGTACACATACTAACATACATATCAATATACAAAGCAGTTGACAAGAACACAACTTTTGGTATATATTTGGTTACAGGTGGGGAGAGAAGTTAGGTGACCGGGGACCGGCAGGAGATCGGCAGAAGAATCGGAGAATGGAATAGGAATGGCTACGAAAAGGCAGTGGTGATGTGCCGGATAAGCCTTGACAACCGATGTAATAGTCTTTTTTCGACAGATGAGAAAAGAGCCTTGAATTTATTTGTGTCAGGATGCCTGTAATAGTATTGCGGGATAAGGGCTTCACGCTGACTTCTAAAAGCTGAACATTCCAAAATGTAGTGGAATTCGTCCCCAGGTTTGTTTGCTGTACATAGTTGGCATGTATTAAGAGTAGCGTCATGTTTCTGTCTACTCTCAGTGATCGGTAGTTTGTGATTCCCACAACGAAATCTAGCCATGACAAGACGGTCCTTTGGCCCTACAAGGGTCAAGTAAGGCTCGAGACCGTGGGTGTCTTTAAAAATTCTATAATTTGTGCACAAAGAGTTGGTATGAACTGACTCGGACCAAGTTTGTTTGATTATATCAGCAAGGCGAGTTTCAAGTACTGCCAGTATCTCGTCTTTGTCCGGAGCATCAGCCCAGTAGTTTCCAAGCCCTGCACTGTCAAGGATACTTTTTACATTCGAGAGCCAATGAGGCCGGAATTCGGAATTCTGAAGTTTGTATAGCTGGAGCTGCATTATGATGTATGAGAGCTTGTGTCTGCTACCATATTTCAGCCGTATCCAGAAGCCTATGACTCGCCTCTGGATGACAGTGCTTAGAGGCATTCTACCTAATTCACCATATGCCATGCAGTTAGCAGAAAACTTGCTAATTTTCAACAGGTGCTTCATAAACTTTTTATGAAAGTTTTCTATATATTGCCCATATTTTGAGCCCCATATTTCGCACCCGTACAGCAAGACAGGCACTACCATACGATCAAAAAGTTCACAGCAGGTGTCAATGGGTAGGTTGAGTGCTGATATCATCGAGCATACTTTAAAAAGTGCTCTGTTAGCTTGTGCCACCTGTTTGAGAACAGCAGATTTCATTGATCCATTGGAAGAGAAGACGGTACCCAAATATGTATACTCATGGACCACTTCTAGTGGTTCATTCCCAAACAGGAAGGTTGGTACCTTTTTTACCCTGCCTCTTGAGAAAATCATTACTTTGGTTTTTGTAATATTGACCTGTAGTTGCCATTCTTGGCAGTAACCATGAACAGCATCTAGAGCTGCCTGCAGTTCTGTTGGAGATTCGGCAAGAACTACTGTATCATCGGCGTATAGGAGGCAGAATATCCTCACAAAATACTCTACATCGTCATCACTCAATGCTTCTTTGATTTCTCTGCTGAGGAGCTCAAGGCCTCTGAACTTCTTGGAGAGCGAAAGCTCGAAATCATTCAAGTAGAGGGCAAATAGAAGAGGAGAAAGATTGTCACCTTGTCTGACACCAATATTGCAAGGAAATACATCTGAAACATAAGCTCCTTGTTGGACACAAGATTTGGCATTGACATACATGTTGTGTATCACCCTCAATATTTTTCCATTGATACCATTGGAGATCAACTTTGTCCAGAGCATCGTTCTGTTCACCAAGTCAAATGCCTTCTTGTAGTCGATAAAAGCGCAGTACAGACGTTTATGATGTGATGAATAAAGCTCAGCTATCGAATTCAATACATATATGTGATCGAGTGTTGAATGACCTGACCTAAACCCTGCCTGTTCGTCACCTATTAGGCCCTGGCCCTCAAGATACAATGTTAATCTCTGGTTTACAACTGCTGTGAATAACTGCTGTGAATGAGTGAATCGTGAACCTTGAACTACGCTGTTGTGTACGGGATGACGCTAGCATCTCGCTTATTCTAGTAGGAAACGTCATCCTCTATTGTACTAGTTTCTACACTTTGACTTAGTTGAAATTTTCATTTACTTGACAAAATTTTCAGTTTCATGCATTGTGCTATCAAATTTCCTGAATTGATCTGTGAATCTATTTAAATTAAATTGATATATCGATAAGTCTCCAATAACTAGGCACTATTTATATGATCCTAACATTTTATGCTACTAGATAAAACCAAATCAGCTACCAATTTCCAGCTGTACACTCTGGCAACACACGTTGCAGCTCACTCATATTTGGCTCACTCGAGTTTCCTTGTGGGTGTGTTGTTATTCTGCTCCGAATTGTATCTTGTTGGCTGTGGGGAAAGCGACTAGCCTTGCACATTTTAAGCTTCACGGAGTTCCCTGTCTTTATTCAAGGATAAATAGGTATGTTCAGATAAAGGCAAAAACACTGACAATCACTGTAATTTATCAGTCATCACAGTACCATCATTTTCTTCTATTTTGGATGTTTGAGGCTAGCTTACATCCAGTAATTATTGTTGTAATGCATGATATTGTGCAGCTCTTGTCACAACCCATGAATTAATATATGAATGGAAAGCTCAGTGTGGCCTTTTAATCAAATTTATCTGAGGGCTGTTCACGGGCCCTGTGTGCGGTCGGACCGCACACAGCCTCCAAGCTCCGCCCACTGCGTCCCTACGTCAGCCTTCCGTCACCGCACACAGCGATCGCTGTGGCCGGTCGGGACTGGCCACAGCGAACCGTCCACCGCACGCAGCCGTGACGTCAGAGCCGCCTACCCATCCCCTACCCCCACGCCTGCTGGACGCACCGCACACACCGCACGCAGCAGTGTGCGGTGCCCGTGAACACCCCTCTGGGATGCATTTGGATTTTTACCTGCTAGGTTTTATTTAAATATAAATTATAGGTTTGTTGAAAACCGAGGGCAGTTTACGGGCCCTGTGTGTGGTCGGACCGCACACAGCCTCCAAGCTCCGCCCACTGCGTCCCTACGTCAGCCTCCCGTCACCGCACACAGCGACCGCTGTGGCCGGTCGGGACTGGCTACAGCGGACCGTCCACCGCACGCAGCCATGACGTCAGAACCGCCTGCCAATCCCCTACCCCCACGCCTGCTGGACACACCGCATGCAGCAGTGTGTGGTGCCCGTGAACAGCCCTCTGGTACTTATATTGATGCTCGTTCCCTGAAGTATGATTTGTCCTTTGCAGGTTGAGAAACTAAAAAGACAAAATGGATCAGATTACCGCTGTGCTGGAGCCTGCAAAGCAGTTCACCAAGGACTCCATCCGCCTTGTCAAACGGTGCACAAAGCCAGACAGGAAAGGTAACAATAATTTCTTGTGGTCATTTCAGTCTAGAAATGGTACAGGCCACTGCTAGAGTAATCTGAGGTGTCATCAGTGGCTTAGCTTTGCAACTGTATCTCAGGAACAAGTTGACAAAGTAGGTACCATGAGACTTGGAATGTAGCTTACAAGTGCCATCCTTGCAGCTACAAGTTCATCTTTTGCTGTCCTCTGGATCACTCTCTTTCTAAATATCATCAATCAAAGCCAATTTTGTTGAGATTGGTAAAACCTCACTTTACTTAAAGTCTCATTTTTTCAGAATTCCAGAAGATTGCCTTTGCCACTGCCATTGGATTTGCCATCATGGGCTTCATTGGCTTCTTTGTGAAGCTCATCCACATTCCCATCAACAACATCATTGTGTAAGTAATTGCTAATAACACTGTTGGTAATAAGCTAACAACAGTCTTGATGACACACTGTCGATTCATCGCCTTTTCCATCCATAAGTGGTAAAATTGTCCGTCTATTAATGGCATGAATCGTTGTCTTGAGTGATTATTCAAATGAGTACTTAACTGTGTCCAGTGTACAGTTACTGTCCAGTAACATGCCATTAGTAATGCCACACAATGCGTTGTATTGTTATTATTACCATTTACCATGGTGCAGTGACAGATTCACCTCTATTCCCGCCAGTGTCATTTGTTCCCAGTCAGTTAAACCTGTTTGATCTGCTATGTGTTTTTTCTAGTCAGTGTGGCTAGTTTTCTGTGTGTGCCACCTGTTTCCCTTCAGTTCCACTTGTTCCCTGTCGTATGTATGTTTCCCGTCAGTGCCGTTAGTTTCCCGTGCGTGCCGTTAGTTTCCCGTGCGTGCCGTTAGTTTCCCGTTCGTGCCGTTTGTTTCCCGTCAGTGCCGTGTGTTTCCCATGTGTTGCTGTATGTTTCCCGTCAGTACCGTGTGTTCCCGTTGGTGCCGTGTTTCCCGTCAGTGCCGTGTGTTTCCCATGTGTTGCTGTATGTTTCCCGTTGCTGCCTTTTGTTTGTTTGTTTTTTTTTCTGTCGACGCCAATGTTACACGATGGACTGTTGCGGGGAAACCTCTCTGATGAGCTGTGCTGGCTTTTTGCAGGGGCTCGTAGTGCGTTGGCCGATTGTTGGATAAAGATGCTGCACGTTCCACCACATCCGCCGGCGGCGGCGGCAGGCGCGCCGCGGTGGGACGCGCCTCCGTGCCGGCGGTGCTGGCCCGGCCGCCGGGCCGCTGTGGAATAATTTATATACTGCGTCCATGTGACCTCTCATGTTGTTCACTTTGCTCCGGGGCCGTTCGTGGGGTGACGATAATACATACGACTGTTGTAAAGTTTGTGTGCTTCGGGAAGTGCTCTGTGTGAAAACCTTCATGAGCCTGTGGTGGCGGTGCAGGTCGATAAATTTGCAGGCGCTTTTAATGAAGTGTATCATCCCTCAAGCCTTCAATGACGGTTTTTTGGGACTTGCCAAGCATTATTTGTTTCTTAAAAATGTCTGTGCGATAAATGTTCAACTGGACCTACTCACTACTGTAAAACAACTGAAAGTGCGAACGCAGCCAATTGGTCACACTGGCGAAATGGGTTAATGCGTGTGGGGCACAGCGCTAGAAGGCATTAAAACATCCTACACTGCATTTGAGTTCATGCACCAATGCGTGAGCCGTAAGAGTAATGTGAATGTATCGCAAACCACTAACAAATGGTTTGGAGCAAGATTACTAAGGTTGGAGAAGCGTAGAGGAGGGAGTATGTTATGGAGTGCCCAAACACCGTGGTGCAACCCAAGTACAACCAATCCATGTAGAAAACCAGCAGTTGAGAACCGATGGGGGATAGACTCAAGATAGACCAAGGCCATCTATAGAGATAGACTCTATGCCTATGGACTCCCTGGAACGGGATCAGATGAAATTGAGAATCGCAAGCGAAGCAAAAGAGGATCGTTCGTTAGTTAATAATTAAACTAGATAATTTCCAAATAATTTCCGTGCGATTTACCGCTGTGTAGCGAGTACTGAGTATTCCGCTGAATTATGTTTGCTTTACTATAATTTTACTACCTATTTATGCGTAGGCATTTGAGTTGACGCATGGGCCTTATAATCTTTGACGTCATAAGCACCAGCTGAGGACCATTGAAATAAAGACGGAATTTCCTCGGCCTTGATTTCCTCTAAGCTTGTGACAGAATTGGCGCGCGGGGTAATCCGTCAACGCCGTCAACATCAATGGGAAAAATAATAGGTAGGTGGTTGTAAGCTATTTTTGGTTAAATTCTGGGTATGATGGTATGATTAGAGCATGTAAACGTATTCCTTGATTGTTAAGGGTGCGTTTCACGCGTAACGCTATGAGAAACGTTTTTCGTAAATATCTAGAGCATCGTTGCTTCGATTGCCTTTGCATTTGGATATGTTATGAAGGACGTTTACCTCGTCATCACAGAGTGGTTACCGTTGTTCTGCAATCCACATATACTGAGCAATTTAGACAAACATATTGCAAAATCAAAATTTCAAACGAATAGAACTCAATAACGGATTGTCGTACGACTGTGATGTTTGCAGTTTTGGACTGACAAAGTCAAGGAAAACATTTCCTAGCAAGCCTTTTTTCAAATTTTGCACTATGTTTTGCATGATACAATTTTCATCTTGCAGTGCATTGCATGAAAGCCATGACAACAATTTCAAAAATTGAAATGTGGCTGCTAGGAATCATAAAGACATCGATTCTCTACACAATCCTGTAGAGTGATTCATCACTGCATGCAGCACTATGCAGTTCTATTCATTTGAAAGTTATTGCACAGGTAGTTCATAAAATCGCCGAGAGATGTCTCTGGCTGTATGGCCCGCGCGTTTCGACGGTCCCCTCGGCCCGTCACTCAGCGGCGTTTGTTGACACAGTGTCACACCCATTAGTTACGGCGCCCCGCTGGCGTTCGGCCGCCGTCGAGGTGCTCTGAACCCTCCCTGCTAAGTTTCGCCGTGACCAGACGGGTCGGAGACTCATCCCACGATCTATCCATGAGCGGCGCTCAGCCAGGCGTCTCCTATCGCGCGCCTCTCACTCTTGATCGGGAGTACGCCGGGAAGAGCTTGTGAGGAACTTTTTGAGGAACAAAAAAATTTGAAAGATGTCACAAGTTTGTGTGAGTGGTATTACGAACAGCGAACAGGTATATTTTGACAGTAGGTATTTGACCTGACCTGGGCAGTCCGTAGCCCGTATTTGACCTGACCTGGGCAGTCCGTACTGAACATAAATAATGAAAATAACCAGCAATGCCTACAAATTCCATGGAGACATAACATAGACCTTGAGTGACGTGAGACCAAATATCATTTCGACTGTTATGTCAAAACCCTCGCCCTGGCAGGGTATTTTTCATACCCCTCCCCGGCGTTTCGAAACTAAGCGTCATAGCTCGCTCCGCAACAAAGAGTCGATGCAGTCGATTGCTCTCAACGAGTACCTACTCGCGATTGGTGGTATATTTTTTACCCTTATTCAATATTTGACCCAGTTATGGCAGGTCAAAGGTCAAATTTCGGGGAAAGCTGCAATTATCCAACTTTTTAGCCAATATTGGCGAATCTATGAAAGATAGCGACATGAAACCTTCACGACCGTGTTTCTCAACGAAATAGCAACAAAATGATGTATACCTAATTGATTGAATTTCAGTCAAAATAGCGTCTCTAGAGATAGTTTTTCACGTATCACCTTTGAAGCAATAAAGCTAGGCAAAAATTGCATGATAGCAATTAGCAGCATCGTAGTCCTCTCGTAATTTCGCCTCGTAGCATATATATGTTGACTTCGAAAGGTCAAGATCAAAGATTGACCTCGGATCACATAACCTAAAGACGCACACTGGTGGGGCTATTTTTGCCCCCCCCCCCCCCCGTATCTCCGAAACTATTGGACGGATTCGCAAAACTCAAACGGCGTTCGATAGCACTGTTGCCTTGAGAACATTTATTTCATTGACCTCAGGGTCACTGGTGACGTCACAGGTCAGGTCAAAGTTAAAAACTTTCACCGTTCACGGGCCTTCTAGACAATGCGTTATAACATTGATTAAAAGGCATTTTATCGAAAATCATCTACAAAGCGTTGGTTGCCTAGTACACATGTTACTAAAAGACGTCACTGATACCAGGTCAGGTAACCTAGAGGTCAGGTCACCAAGGGTCAACACATGAACCCAACTTTACTAGGGCCGTGTGATGCATGTTTTGTGGCCAGTTTTTCATTTCCAACTCAATGGTTTTGGTTAGACAGCCATGAGGGACGGTTTAGGTTACTTTCTGGTGGAGGTTATGTCAAGGTCTGGTAAAGAGGTCAAATTTAGAAGTTGATACTTTTGCATAAAAAGGTACCTATTTCGATGCACCTCATCACGGGGAATCCAATCGGTCGCAAAACGTCCTCAATTTTGCGACCGATACCCCCGAACCCGATTACGACACGCTGACGAGGTTTTGTGATACAATTCGAAAGCTCCGACCCGAACGATTTCTTGGGGGATTTTTAAGTCCGGATGAACTTATAAGATTCCGAGATATACACGATGCAGCTACCAATGGCCTTATTACATCGTGCACTGCAACTTTCAAAGGACTCGGGCATCTACTGTAGCTCTGAAGCGGTGACAAAATTGCAAAAAAAAAAAGTTTTATAAAGCATATTCTTCTGTGCCTTCTGATGCGATAGTCCGGCACTATACAGTGTGTAGCTCATGCTGATAGCTCATGCAATAACCCGAGTTTCGAGCATCTAGGATATACCTGAACTGGGTGACCTAAACTTATGAGACTGGGGTTCCACAATTTCACACGCGATTAGAAATTGATGTATGATAAGCTATGCCAAGTTTCGCGGCGCTTTTACGGGCAAAAATTGTAAGTTTGACCAAAAAACGTCCCACTTCCCCAAGCGAGGATTGATGAAGCTAACACTATGAATGTGACTGAAGCTGCTTTCCTGTACCTCATTCTGTTAGCCTTTACATTTTTCCGGTCTTTCCCTATCCGTGTATGTCGGCGCGGGTTCGGCCCAATGTGGTTCGACTGAAAGCATGACATCTGGTCCTTTCCGCCCGGCCTGACCGGCGCGGCGGACCCGTGCCAATCCTCCCGAACTCGCGAGGCGCGGATGGGGAGGGGCGGCCCGGCAGTCCAACCCCTCTGCGCTAACAGATGGATGGACAGGGGAAATGTGATACTTGTCCTATGACAACAAACCGGCGTTCAGCGCTAGGGCCATCTACTGGTCTAGAAACGTATCTCTATGTCGGCAAGATCCTCGCCAGGTGGTGTAAAGGTCGCGTGAAACGCACCCTTAAGCTTTCCAATAATGCTGAGATGTACCAGAATCTTCGCAAATTGCTTCGCGTGTGGTCACTGGTCCTGTCACTTCAACTTTGTCGTGATTATAAGATTCATATCAATATTGATATTGATATAGACACTTACAGCATTGTTTCAAGCTGTATTTCAGTGTTTAAAATTATGCACGTAAATCATGATAAACACTTATAAGATTAACATGCAGTTAATTATCCACACACCAGTACATTTCAAAGGTTTCATAGTCTTATTCCTATTGTATCTACTTGTCTTGGATTATTCCTATTGTAGGTATCTACTTGCAGTGGCGTATCTAGGATTTCTCTCAGGGGGGATCCGCAGTCAAAAGGGCCCTTGACTGACTGGGTTGAAAGGGCCCTTAAGTGGCAAAAGGGCCCTTGAAGCCTGAGTTGAAAGGGCGTTAGCCCGCACCCCGTAAGGGGGGGGGGGGCGAAACGGCCCCCTGTCCTCTTCCGTAGCTATCTCCTAAATGACTGCAGATATCGCCACGAAACTTTCAGGACCTCTCCGGGCATCCATTTTACACATTGTGACCTTTTTCCAGAGGCTTTGATAGGTTGGCCGCAAATACGTCAGAATGACGTCATGTTCTGCCATTTTCGGCCCAAAAAATGTTTCGCAGGAAGAGCTATCAGGCCTACAGAGCTGTAGGAACATGAAAATGTTCCGATATAAAAAGTGTACAATTAACAGGCTTAGGTCAAATCTGAGCACAGTTTACAGAAAGTGCGTTAAAAGAGCTTTGTTTGTTTTGTTGGGTTGGACCCAGGCCCTTTCGGCTTTCGGTCTGACAGGCCATTTCAGGGCCGGAGGGATGATAGGAATTGAGGGAGACATTGGTCTGGGCGGGCACCTTGGTGACTCACTGGGGCTGAGCCTGTCCAACAGGACAGGCCGACCAGCCTCCCAAGTGCTCACTGCACCCGGTTATGAGTGTGCTTCCTTAGGAGCTGCAGTGCGCTCCAATGGGAGCCGCCCGCATGGAATAAAGCTGCCCGTCCAGGTCCAGCCCGGATCAGGGTTTGCGGCATGGAGGAGAAGGATTTGAATGTCCTGAGGATGGAAACGGCGAAAGGGGTGTTAAAAGAGCTATTAACTACGCTTTTCCCCGGTACTGTAGCTCTATTCATTTCCGAATCATGCGGTGGTTTGTTGAAAGTTGTCGAAATTGGACCTGAAAATTGGCGAAATTTAACCTTGGATGACCTATGTGAACTGAATTTTGAACTGATCTAAAAAGTGACAGGCGTAATTTCGTCATTATTGTTTGCTTGCGTCCCTTCGAACACTGCCTTAGGCGTGTTGGTACGTGGCTCAGAAGCCGGGTTATAGATGCAGGGGTGCGGAGCCGGAGCTGGAGCCGGAGGAGCCGCCGGTGCCGGCATATTTTGCCTGGAGCCGGAGCCGGAGCCGGAGCCGTGAAACAATATAGCCCGGAGCCGGAGCCGGAGCGGTAAAAAAGGCGGCCACTCCGGCTGTTTTTTTTTTTTTTTTTTTTTTTGAAGAGGAAAACATTATTGACCTAGTTCGGTTTCACAGTGCCTGCAAGGCAGTAAAATATGTGGTATTCAAAATAGCCTTGTTATGCAAATACAGAAACAACGTGAACCAATCCTTCATCTTTTCTTTTCCACCCGTATTTATTTGTATAAAGGATGAACTGAGTACTGGAGTCGAAGCCGGAGCCGGAGCCGGAGCCGAAGCCGATTTTTTTTTTCTCCGGAGCCGGAGCCGGAGCCGTCTGAAATTTCCACGCCTCCGCATCCCTGGTTAGAAGGACCCTGGCCGGGCGGGGGGGGGGGGCGGGGGGGGGGGGGAGCGTGGGTGCCACCACATCGTTTTTTTTTGCGACAGCTCGGAACACGTCGGCAGGCAACAGAGAGCCAAAACTGGGCATAGCTACCTGACCTTTGATGCAAACCGGGCCTTGTGACGCCCGCATTTTCACGGAGGGCCTCTGGTCGTCTTAAGGACCCTCTGTTACCCTCAGGGGGACCCTCTGATGGCCTCTGAAGACCATCACTGGCCTCAAAGGGTCCTCTAGTGGCCTCCATGGACCCTCTGGGTACCTGAAAGGTCCCTCTGTTTTCTCTCCAGGGGCCCTTTTTACCTCAAAAGGTTCTCTTTTACTTCAAATGACCGTATGTTGGTCTAATACATGAGGCCCCTAGTGGCCTAAAATAGCCCTCATATCATCTAAGGTGACCCCCTGTTTGCCTTAGAAAAGAGGTCCCTCCGGGTACCTGAGAGGCCCTGTTTGTGTCCCAAAGGGTCCTTTGCTGGCCTCATAAGGCCCCTAGTTGACCTAAAAAGTCCTCTGATTGTCCAAGGGCCCTCTGTTCGCCTCAGAGTTTTTTCCTCAGAGTGCCTGATGACCTCATAGAGCCCATAGTGGCCTGACATAGCCTTCAGATCACCTCAGAGGGCCCTCTGTTGTAAGGCTCAAGTGGCCTTCTCAGAGGGCTCCGACTGCCCTGTGACTGACAATTGTCCACTCTTATCCCTCTTTTGGGTGATCTTTTCCCCCTCTGACACCCAAGCCAAAATACGATTTTGGGACACTGACTCCGAGGGCCAGTTGATTTTCAGAGGGCCCTCTTTGAGGTGGATGTTAGGGCCCTCTGTTCGCCTCAGAAGGCCCTCTGGTGGATTTAGACTTCAGAGGACCCTATTTTGGCATCAGAGGGCGCCTCTCTGTGGCATCAGAGGGCCCTCGGAGGCCTCAAATGGCCCTATTACATCTCAGAGAGCTGTCTTTGACCTCAGAGGGATCTTTTTTACTTCTTTGTGGTGTCTAAGGGGGCCCTCTGGCCTTTGTTCGCCTCAATGAGCCTTAAGGGGTACTCCGATCACTTTCAAGGACCCTCTTTGATCTCAGAGGGCCTAAACCTCATAGGGCTCATGGTGGTCTGACATAGCCTCATATCACCTCAGAAGGCCCTCCAGTGGCCTCAGAGGGCACTTTGTGACCTTTGAAGGCCCTCCATTCGCCTTAGAGGGCCCTCTTTGATCTCTTTGATCTCTTCGATCTCAGAGGGCCCTTTGTTCACCTCAGAGGGCCCTTTGGTGACCTCCAGGGACCATCTTTGATCTAAGAGGGCCATCTGGTGGCCTCATAGGGTACCTTGTGGCCTGGCATTGACCCTCGTACCTCAGAGGACCTTCTGTTCGTCTTAAGGGGCCCTCTGCTGGTCTTAGAGGGCCCTTTGTGTGCTTGGGAGGCCCCCTGAGTACCTGAGAGGGCCCTCTGTGTGTTTGAGAGGGCCCTCTGTGTGCCTGAAAGGGTCCTCTGTGTACCTGAGACGGCCCTCTGTTCGCCTGAAAGGGTCCTCTGTGTGCCTGAAAGGGCCCTCTGTGTACCTGAGAGGGCCCTCTGTTTGCCTGCGAGGGCCCTCTGTTTGCCTGCGAGGGCCCTCTGTGTGCCTGAGAGGGCCTTATGTGTGCCTGAAAGGACCCTCTGTGTGTCTCAGAGAACCCTCTGTGTGCCTGAGAGAGCCCTATGTGTGCCTGAGAGGGCCCTCTGTGAGCCTGAGAGGGCCCTCTGTGTGCCTGAGAGGCCCTATGTGTGCCTGAGAGGGCCCTCTGTGAGCCTGAGAGGGCCCTCTGTGTGCCTGAAAGGGCCCTCTGTGTACCTGAGAGGGCCATCTGTTTGCCTGAGAGGGCCTTCTGTGTGCCTGAGAAGGCCCTATGTGTGCCTGAGAGGGCCCTCTGTGAGCCCTAGAGGGCCCTCTGTGTGCATGAGAGGACCCTCTGTGTGCCTGAGAGGGCCCTCTGAGCCTGAGAGGGCCCTCTGTGTGCCTGAGAGGGACCTCTATGTACCTGAGAGGGCCCTCTGTGTGCCTGAGAGGGCCCTCTGTGTGCCTGAGAGGGCCCTATGTGTGCCTGAGAGGGCCCTCTGTGAGCCTGAGAGGGCCCTCTGTGTGCCTGAGAGGGCCCTCTGTGTGCCTGAAAGGGCCCTCTGTTTGCCTGAGAGGGCCCTCTGTGTGCCTGAGAGGACCCTCTGTGAGCCTGAGAGGGCCCTCTGTGTACCTGAGAGGGCCCTCTGCGTGCCCGAGAGGGCTCTCTGTGTACCTGAGAGGGCCCTCTGTGTGCCCGAGAGGGCTCTCTGTGTGCCTGAGAGGGCCCTCTGTATCCTTCACAAGGTCCCTCATTGGCCTAAATGTGTCCTCTAATAATCCTAAAAAGAGTTCTACAATACTTTTTCTTTTAGCGAATAAAATGGGAAGTGGTCAAAAGGGCCCTTGAAGTCATTTCAATTTTTTCCGTGTTATAAAAAAAAACTTTTTTTCTAGGCTCCAGGGGGGATCCTAGGACCCCCAGGGTCCCCCTTGGATACGCCACTGTCTACTTGTCTTGGATCATTGCTTTGAGAGGCATGCCCGTGTCCTCGGAAGCATAAAATCAATTTGTTGCACCTAGTTTTCCTACGAGCTGCCTGTGCTAAATATTTTTGTCTCATTACAACTGCTTGTCAATAATTTTGATGCATTTGAAATTGTAGTGATGTCATAGTTTGTATGTTTCACTGATCATCCACTGATTCATGCATAGTATCCTAGCTAGTATAACGCCCTTAGCGGCGACCAATGGAGAGAGCGAAAGGGTGGGCCTTGCACATGCAAAATTGTGATCGGGTACCTCCTACTAAGTTGTGCACTGCACCTTACTAACCGGTTTAGTGGTGTGCCAAGTTTGAGCGCAATCGGCCTAGCCGTTCTCGAGATCGTCCGCACGGCCGGCCGGTCGCTCATACTCAGAAATTTCCGTTTATCTATGAAAGACTCCGCTCCGCTATTAATTAATCTAAGGAAAGACTACGCTCGCTCCATAATCATCCCATGGGTTTCCTAACTGACTGTGCATTTTCAGAGAAAGCGATTCAATTGAAAACCGAAGACCAGAGCTATTTTAATCAAAATGGAAGTTCGAGAGATGAAGCCTGGAATTAAGAACATAACCATTAATTTGATTATTCTTGATATAGGTATGATGCCACCTCACTGTTCTTAAATGTACCTACTTTGTCATTTGTATTGTTTCCACGAGGAGTTTGTAATGCGTATGCTGTTGTGCTTTAATGCTTTCCATATTCAATTGTGTTTGCTTCCATTTTTTTTTTTAATTATTCAAATGATGGATTAGGCTTTATATGCAATGCACATATCTTACGGTGCAATGGGTATTGAACAAGGAGAACCATCATTTGTTCCACAGGGCGGCCAAACAAGACAATGGAGGGCCATGACGTGCGCACCTGTCGGGTGGCGGACCGGTCCGGCTCGATCAACATGTCCGTTTGGGACGAGCCCGGCGGACTGCTTCAGGTGAGCTGTCCAGACACGTGGCACACTGCCAAACATCTGCCACGATAGGCGACTCAAAATGTACATCGATCCTTGTCAAAATATAACATTGATTAGGTAATTGAAGCCTTCAGTGTGGTGCCTGACCCGTCTCGACCCTCGTTCAATGCGTGTGTTTCAGACGGGAGACATCATTCGTGTCACGAAAGGATACACAAACATCTGGAAGAATTGCCTCACGCTGTATGTGGGAAAGGGCGGCGATCTCCAGCGCATCGGCGAGTGAGTACACTTTGTTAGAGGCTAGAGCTTGCTGCCCAATTTCCCGCCTTTCCATTGTTCCCGTCGTCGCAGCCTAGCATCTGTCGCATGGTGCTAACATCGCTCACTCCCTGTTTCCTGCATTACTTTCATCTGCATTTAGCATTATTGGCACCGCTTCCCAGTAGCGCAGCGGAGGATTGTCCGTCTCCGGAGCTGACCGGTGTGGAGAGCCCGGTTCGAGTCGCTTTGGTGCTCGTCATTTCCCCGTATCTGGCCTGCGGTCAGCGCCCGTGATATCCAGATACCGGCCAGATGAAGGCGCTGTGCGGGCGAGTGGTGTCCAACAATTTGAACGCGTCGAATGCTCTATTTTAATTATTATGTATGTTTTAATAATATATGTCGTGTGCTAGGAATTGTATCCTAATCGGGCGCTAGAGAACGAACCTGCACAATAAGTTGCGCTTAGCGTGAGTTCTGACTCAGGAAAGCAGTCCATGTCCAAGCAGTCCATATTTGGACCATTTAGGATAAAATTTGCGGATTTTCCAATCCTCAGTCATTGATAAAAAGATCGCACCTCGTATCCGTAACGCCAAGAGCGATACACAGCTTGACATGGGGCAAGGGCAAGACAATTAACACTTCGTGGTAGACCATACTCGGAGACTTTGTGACATAACCTCGTACCTGAATGCATTATTCTTTCAGTTTCCTACTATTATGCTCTTCGGGGCTACTGATGATATCCAATTTCACGATGTGATCCTTCGATTGACTGCCAAATAAGACCATTTCCGTGTTTTTCCTGTCTGACGTTATCGGGCCCATTCCGCGTTTCTTTTTTGCGATTATTGCAGCGATGATATTTTTGTGTCTGAATAATTTTGCACGTTTTATACCGAGTAATTTTTACATGGATGAATTTAAAGGCATTTTCTTGGTAAGTATCCGTTTTGTATTGGTTGTTTTTGTCAATATCAGGTCTTCTGTCATCCTTTGTTCCGTCCTTTTCTTCAATATATGATATTTATCCTGGAGCTATATTGCAAAATGCAATTTGTAAATTGTTAGCATTGCTCATTCCAAAATTTTTGTCTTCACCAACCAAAACTTGCCTACTAACTCGCTTTCCTCAATTTTGTCTTTCAGATAAAATTTGGATTTAAACATTTACCTAGTATACCTATAGGCATTAGTTTTGGGGCAATGGAATGCTTGCATTTAACTTTTCTAACGCTAGCCGTCAATCTGCATAAAACAATAATCGCCGTTTTTAGGACTACCAATGTTCGCTACAGTCTAGTGATGTCAGTTACGGAAAATCTGAATACCGATACCAAACCAAATACCAACCAAAACCATGGGGAAATACCGAAACCAAACCAACTTGGAAAAATGAGGGAAATACCAACTTTTTACCGATTTCCTAGCCTTTTATACATTATTGAGGGTTCATGATACCAACAAAATACCAAACACATTACGATTGAAATACCAAATACCAAGTTGGTATCGGTTTGGTATCGGTATACCAAGAAGTTGGTATCCGATTGACATCTCTACTACAGTCCCCACAGTCAATTGAACGGCATCTGTCCTTACTACCGTTTCTTTGCTAGGTTTGCCGTCCCAGTGTGCTGGCGCTCGGCGGGGTGTATTATGCCTGCGTTCTATTGCAGCTTCTGCATGGTGTTTTCGGAGCTCCCATTCATGAGTGAGCCGCAGACGGAAGCTCAGCAGCAGCAGCAGCAGCAGCAGCAGCCTGCGCAGCCGTCGGCGGCGTCGCAGCAGGCCGCGCCGCCGGCGCCGTCAGCCCCGGCCGGCAGCGGCCCGCCACCGGCGCTCGTCGGCAACCACAACGGCGCGCGCGACTCGCGCTCGGCGGCCGGCGGTCACCGCGGTGGTGGCGGCGGCGGCTGGCAGGCCGGCCGCGACCCGCGCAACCAGCCGTTCGGCCGCTCGCAGCCGGGCCGCGGCCGCTCCGGCGGCGACCCGAGGACCAAACGGTAGCCGGCCGCGGCGCGGGTGTGCTGTGCTGTGTGCAGAACTCAGCCGCCGCCGTGTGCAGGGTTTGGTGGACCAGACGGCAGCGTTATTATATGTGTTTGTCGTGGACAGGACAGCGCTGCTGCACTGTATTTCGTTGAGTGAGAATGGACCACGAGCTGAGTGATGGAACGGTTTAGACTTTGACATGCCAACTGTGTGGTCGGCAGATGGGAAACAAGGATGACATGGCCGAGCTGAGCGCTCATGGTAGACGTGCTAGTGACCTGCCACTCTGTGGCGTCCCTCATTTGCTGGCTGTGATGTCCGTCGGCTCTCGTCGTGATAGCTTCACGCTGCCGTGGGCGTTAGAGTGAAATAACCACAGCGTTACGGGCTGTTGGCATTCTTCCATTACTATCCACCGAGGTAGTGCAATCACAATGACGGTCGGGCATTGTGCTGTTTCAAGCCACGTAGTGTCGGTGTTGAGACTGCATATTGATGATTGCTTTGTGCCGTACCTCGACAGTGAACAACGAGCGTTCACACCCTGCCAAAACTTGCTACTTCGTTTCCGTTCAATACGATGTTAGGTACTTTCAAACCGTAAAACAGTCGGTTGTTGTGCTTATTGCCCCGGGCTTATGTAGAGTTTGGTGGTAGTTTTCTTTTTTCACTTGTTTCAACATAAAACACGAATCAAAAGATTTGTCAACAAAAGCCTCTAAGAATGTTCACCATCGCTGGTGTTGTAAGGCGCCTGTCTGTATGTCCCCGTAATGCCGTGCATTGTGATGTGGGTAATGTGTACGGCCTGATATTCATGTGGTTTTAAGACAGGTCACTGCGGGATTTTGCGATCTAATTTTGTCTGGTGCACTGTCAGCATTGCTGTCGCCTGTCATTGCTATCGTTTTCATAGAAGTTCGCTAGGCCCTGTGCTTTAGTGTCCCAATAATTTTTGTATGTTCCTTTTTGCGGCCGTGTGTCACTAGTTCATCAATATGTCGGAGAAGCTGCTTGTCTTATTGGACGAGATTTCAAATGCCGCCTTCGGTGAAAATATATGCATTTCGACAAACAAACTATGTTTCTTTGTTGTATGTTTGCGGCGTTGTCACAGAGTTCAGTTCACCCAGATTGTGAGGCATCAGGGCTTGGGTTGAAACTTGAAACACATTCCAAGCGAATTTTGAATTAACATTAGCAGTTAGCACGACAGTTGGTTATGAACTCCTAACTTTTCATGCGTAAAATTAGCATGCGCAAATGCCCTTGTTGTCTACGCTCCCGATAGCGCAACCAATTCACACTCGATACATCATGTAACCGACATTTTCCATTTATTCCACTCGCCGCTCTTGCCACTCTTCAAGCCTACCTAATAATGTTTCAAGGCAGGACTGCCTTTGTATTAAATACGCCACTGCTTTCAGTTTGTGTGTGTTCTAGCTCACAAGCACAACCATGAGACCACCAATAATGCTTATCACGACGTGCATTTCTCCCTCGGCACTTTCCCTAACGTCTAATGATATTGGGTATCGCGGGTGCGGTTGACCGCGGGTATCGTCCCTGTGCCCACTACAGTTGGAACTGTTCGCCGGTGGAACTGTGAGCTGGACCCACCTCCAGTGTGTGTTGAGGCACCACCGGCCCTGCCGGTTGGAGTGGTGGGCTCTAGTTGGCGGCCGGGGTGCGGAACTCGGCCATGCAGGATTCGGTGCGCCGGCGCACCTGCCGCAGCTCCTGCACCTGCTGCCGGTCCAGCTGCAGCGCGTTACGCTGCACCGGCAGCGGCTCGTGGCGCGGACGGACCTCCCGCAGGTCGTCCGCCTTCTTGTCCTGGCTGGCGTCGGTGGGCGGCCGGCGCGCGAACAGCGTCTCCACCTGGTGCAGCTCCAGGCCGCGCGTCTCCGGCAGCAGCAGCGCCGCGAAGGCGGCCAGCGCGGCGCAGCACGCGGCGAACGCCCAGAAGGTGCCGTGCGCGCCCAGCCAGCGCGTCAGGTACGGGAACGCCTGCAGCACGCCGAAGTAGACGGCGCCCCAGACGAGCAGGATGGCGCCGTTAGCCACCGAGCTGACGCTGGCCGGCACCAGCTCCCCCATGGCCATCCAGGTGACGGGGCCGATGCCGAAGTTGGCGGCGGCCATGTAGAGGATGAGGGCGGTGACGGGCACCCAGCCGAGACTGTCGGCCGAGGCCAGCTGGCCGCGCTGCTGCGCCCAGAAGTAGGCCCCCAGCGTGGCCAGGCTGAGCGCCGACATAAGACTGGAGCCGATCAGCAGCGTGCGCCGGCCGAACCGGTCGGCGAACCCGGAGGCCAGCACGTTGGCCGCCAGCCGGGTGACGCCGATGATGACGGCGCACATGTACTCGTCCAGCGAGGTGCCCGCCATCTGGAAAATGGTCACCACGTAGCTGAGCACGGCCAGCATGCCGGACAGGATCTGGAACACGAACAGGCCGGTGACCAGCAGGATGGGCAGCAGCGTCTCGCGGTTTGCCATCTTCCGCAGCACGTCCCGCACGGTCACGCGCTCGCTCTTCTCGGCGCGGCGCGCGGCGGCCTCGATCTCGCGCTCCACTGGGTAGTCGTCGCCCTTGTAGAAGCGTCCGGCCTCGGCGGCCTCGTCAAACTGCAGCTGCGCGGTCAGCCAGCTGGGCGACTCCGGCAGCCAGAGGAAGCCGGCGAAGATCAGCACGTTGGGCAGCACGCCCAGGATGGCGGCCATGTGCGTCCAGTGCACGGCCGAGCCGACGCCGTAGCCGATCAGCACGCCCAGCGAGCAGAGCACCTCGGGCGTGGCCGAGAGCCGGCCCCGCAGCCGCGGCACAGCCACGTCGCAGATGTAGGCCTGGTAGCAGGGCAGCGTGACGGCGTTGAAGAAGCTGACCAGGAGCCTCCCGGCGATGACGAGGCGGATGTCGCTGGCGGCGGCCACCAGGAGCCAGCTGGCGGCCGCCGGCGGGCTGTGCAGCATCATGAGCCGGCGCGGGCCCATGTAGCGCAGCAGCACCGTGCTCAGAGAGCAGCCCAGCACGATGCCGGCCGTGGTGATGGACACTGGGGGACACACGGGCGGGCGTCAGCGCGCAGGCACCGGCGTCCGGGAGGCGGGCCATCTCTGCCCTGGGCGGGGTGGGGACCGCACACTGAGTGCGGTCGGTCTCTGGTGGGACCTTCCGCCTTCTTTCCTTCAGTTTTAGTCGGCTGGGTGAGAGGAGAAGATGTTAGGTGCCGCTTGCTTTAGAGGATGGTGTCTTAGGAGGTGCACTTCATATCTCTAGACCTGTTCAAGCGTGGCGTGGGACTGATGGGAGCAGCTATTGGCGAAAAGGTTGGACCAAGAGACACAGGAAGGCAAAAATAGACGAGAAGTGGGTAAAAATATGGATACTTTTCTCAGAATCGCGGTGCTGCTTAAAACGCTAAACAGGATAGGAATCGAGGGATTCAGCGCTCTCATTTCATGATGAAAGACATTTTTTGCAATAACGGTGTAGCCGGTTTACCTCGCATATGAATGGACACTGGCGAATTGTTGAACATATATTGCGTCGATTTTTTATCACGACATGATATTGACATTGCATCACGGCACACATGAGATCACATTTACACGGCTGAGATGGCTTCGGAAAGATTGAGGATCGATAAGAAATTGCTGAAATCTGTAATATTTATCTTGCGATCTTTTTGCCTTTGACCTATCTTTTGACTTTTAATCATTCACCCTTAAAATTTTGGTTTAATTAGGAAATCAAATATGGTTGCGGTGCATAGGTATCCGTTAATTGACTGCCATCAGCAAATTGGTGGTTTGACGCTGCTGAGCCCTCCGTGGCATTCTCAGCCTTACCCACTGAAAAAGTTCCCTTCCCACAGATGTCTCAGTCATTTCTTTTTACGAGACTTTGTGATTGACAATGGAACCTACCCTCGAACATTTGAGCACATTTACAAATACAGTAACACAACACACACATTACACATTACACATTTTACATTGCAAACAACTGGCGCAAGGCCCAACATGCGATGCTCGCACGAATCTGTGGCCTGCTAAACTAACGCAACTCACAACAGACTTCCGGTGCCGGGCGCCGCTACCGGCTAGGCTGTAAGACAGAGAAAAGCACGCTATGTAACGATGTGCTGCCGGCCGGCACGTGACCGAGAAAAGGCCAACGGAGGGCGGCGGCAGCGCGCCTCCACTGAGCGCGGTGCGGGGCCGACCACCTCGGCAAAACGACTCACACCCTAAATAGCTCCATCAGTCAAGGCATGCAATGACCTGTGTCGATGCAAGGCATGCAATGCATCGTCTAACCTAACTAACACCACGATTGGACGCAATCAATGTGGGAGGCATACGGGTCATATTATGGGATGGGATGTCTGCATGGGTGGTTTTGGGGCAAGTGGGAGGCGTCCTTCTTGTGCATGCACACTTCTCTAACTACCTAGCCTTTCACCTGCAAAGCTATCGCCCCTGTAGAAATGACAACATTGTCTGCACTTCATAATATAATTCATATCTTCCACTTTTTCAGCCGTTTGGCCTCCGTATTTATCAAATTTTAAGAAACATGTTGTCATTCCTACATTTAGAGCGTCAATTAACTAATCCCCATTATTGGATAAACCCTTCCATAAAAGGATACAGGAGTGACATGCCCGACTGCAGTCATTTGGAGAATCAATGACAGATTGAGAAGTAATTTACCACTATACCTACCCATTACCATTCCAAAAGTGCCATCAAGTCTTTCGGCGGGTATGGCGGTAAGTGGTAAACGATAGGTGCTGCAATTCATCAGAGAGACGGCGCTGAAATAGGTACAGCTCAATAAACTGACCTAGTGCATTTTGTCCTGTCGTTTTTGTTTTTCTCAAAACGATTTTGCAAGGCTTATTCGAAAGTGGGTCTCAGCATTAGGTAACCGAACATTGGTATCAGCGAAGCGCTTTGCAAGTGCTTCATTAGTATGATATTGATTACTGTTGCAACATGTTAATTCCAAAACATGCTCGAGAGGAGACGGTTAACTACCGCAGTCGGGCAGACGGTGGGGTTGGAAGCATGCATGGTTCTGTTCCCCTGTCGATGGTAGATACCAGCCTAGGGTGTCGGTGGAGCGCGAGGGAGCGATCCCGCCGGCCGGCCGCCGGTGGTCGCCGCTCGGCCGCCGCTCGCGCTACCGGTGCCCACCGGGGACGGCGGCGGGGCTGGGCCCTCCAGAGTCGCCGGCGCGTCCTCCTTCCTCTCAGCTGGCTGTCGGCGCTGGCAGCGGCCGCGGCTCCGCGTCTTCTGGCCGGCCCCAGCGCTGCAGTCGGCCGACCATCAGCCTCGGAGTCGACCTTCTGGTCGCTCCTAATTCCTTCCGTCTTTGCCACATACTTTGTTCACAGTCAGCGCCTTTTTTGTGTCTACGGATCCCAAGTCTGAATCCTTTCTTTCTGGCAGGAGAGCTAACTAATTGCATAAAAAACTCGGTAATGTGATTGCTCACGGTGGAAATGTGTGACCGTTTATCCAGTGCAGGTACGCCATTGCTAAATAGCTGGTATCAGGGAATACCAATTAGTTAGCAGTGGTTTAATCATGTCCCTGTTGACTGGTGTCCCTCTTGCCCCTATTGATGTCCCGCCCTTGATTCGTGAATCTAAAGGATAGCTGAAGTGACCTAGTATTAGTAACTTTGACTCTGGACCTTGTCTAACGTAGCTGTGAAGTGGGCGAACCCTCTGGCGCCTCTCCTACTAAACTCCAAACACAAACCTTCCCGTTGTCGATTGCTGCACACTTGCTACGCTGTAATACAGAGAAAAGCACGACATGGGTTAACAGGTACGGAGGACCTACGGCCGACCTCGGCAGTCGGTGCGAGACGCACCCGTGGGCCCTCTAGACGGGTGCCCGCTCCGGGTCCCCGCAGCACGTCAAACCCTACGCAGCACTCAGTCAAGGCATGCAATGACCTGTACCGATGCAAGGCATGCAATGCATCGCCTATCCTAGCTAACCCACAAACGACCGATGAAGCGAAGCTAGACTTCGAAGCGGGAACACACCATCGGGTTCGTATAGGTAGTGGTGTTGGACCAGCACGGCTCTGTCGCCTCTGGGGTGACGAGTCCGTTGCTGGTCGCTTCGTAAAAATAGGAAACAGGATCAATTGCTTCGGGGAGGCTCTTACCTTTGAACTGTTTAAAGAATACCTATGTTTATTAAAGGAAGGGTGCCACCTTCCGAAATTTTTGTTCTATGAATCTATTTTACTTATTTGAATTTTTAGACGTGGTTAGCGCGTCCACAATATACAAAAAACCGAAACATTGCATTTAATACATTGGCCAAAAAAAAGATCGTTGTTTATATCACCACTACAACTCAAGGTCGTTTGATGTGGCAGCTAGGACGGCTGGCATATCCTGTTGTCATGGCAACATATCATTCTGCCATTTGCATTGATGGCGCAACTGAGACAAAAAGATGAACAAATAAAAAGGAAGAAGATAACATGATTTGAACTAAGTTGTAGGTAACCAAGTAGGTAACTGTTGGCCATATTTGCCAACAGTTAAAGAACATCAAATAAGTCGAGTAAAGGTTTTTCCTTTACAATGCTTAAGAGATCTATGGAACCCTTCACCCTTCATGCAACTTACTAGAAAAACTTCCCAATTAAAATTTTAAAACTTAAGTGTATACCATAAAGAAAAAATATACCCTTTCAAAATGATAAAACATGCTTCAAAAGTATAACTTTTATACATACCTTTGCTGATTTCATGTTTTATAAAATACCCTTAACACGACGAGGAAATAGTGCTGAAGATTTTTGCCTGCCCGAATGCTGGCAGCAAAACTCGCAAATGATAACTTCACGTGCGGATTCAATGCTGACCGTCTCGAGCATAGGTAAGTGAAGCCGGTTTTTAGGTTCATGTGAGGCTAATCTTGTAAAAACTGCGTTGTGTCCAAAAGGTGGCACCCTTCCTTTAAGCAAGAAATGCTTGCTCATGTCTTTGCTTAATAGAAGAGTCCTTTTGATAAAAAATTGAAGTTACGTGCTTGCAAATTGGGCATCCATAGATAAATTACATGTCAGTAGCTGCTGTTAATGTAGCTTTATTTTTATCTTTTATTTAGTGGCTAACGAAGGTCATCTATCGAGTCGTTTGCGGTGACTACTCTTGACAATTCCGGGGGCGTCGGAGTGTCCCTCTCTCCCCTGAGTGCCGCGGTTGCCGGGAGGGTCCTGGGTGGTGTGGCGCGGCCGCCCCCAGGGGACCACTCACCGAGAAGGCTCTGGTGTTCGGGAGAGACTTCCACCCCGTCCGCCTCCAGCTGCGGCAACAGCACGGCAGAGAAGGCCATCACAATGCCGATCTCGAGCTGCGTGAGACCGGCCAGCAGCGTGCCCACGTACTGAAACGGCAGGAATCATACTGAAACAGCAAGAAATCGTACCGCGCAATGGGCGCAAAATGACCTCGCGGTCGGCGCGCCCCTGACCCCCAACAAACAAACAAACAAATCGTACCGCGGAAACTGCCTGAAATCGTACTGAAACGGCCTGAAATCGTACTGAAACGGCAAGAAATCGAAGTGAAATGGTAGTGAATCGTTGCATCGTACTGAAACGGCAGAGAATCGTAGACCAGAATACCAGGGGGCGTCTTTGCATACTGCAGGGGTTTCAGCCCTGCATTCCCACCTCAGGGGCGGTCGGTCCCCTCACGACTGACCTACCTGGGGCCACTGGCGGAGCTGGATGTTGCCGAGGTAGCCGGCCACGTCGATCACCGTGTGGGCGCTCTTCTCCATGGCTGACTGACTGCTGTGTGGGTCGGGGAGCAGCGGGCGGGGCTGGTCTGGGTCTCGGTGTGCCGCCGGCGCCGCCGGGGGCCGCTATATACCCCCACGGACGGTCGGACGGCGCGTGACACCGCATTGGCATCTGGCGCCGCTCGGAGAAAACAGAGCAGTGGGACCCTCTGAGACCGGGGCTGCTCGGGGAGCTCGGCACAGCTACATCTCTGTGTGTATCTGTGTGCTGTGTAGATGCGGGTAGATACACAGGCCGCAGTAACCCCCAAGACGAGATCAAGGTGTGGACACTGGACGGGGCGGGCAGTCTGCCCCGATGTTGACCGTTGACCTCGGTTTATTAATCGTGTCTGTGACTGATACCTACCTTAAAAGACTGACCGGATTTGCATGCTTTTGGCTATGTTATCTCCTATTTTATAACGAATCTCATTTTCAATCTTGAATAGCCTTTAGCCAGTAGCCAGGGGCGAAGCGAAAACTCAATTTTGAGAGGAACCCACAGAACATTTTATTTTGATACCCACGGCGGGATGGTGCTATTTTCCAATTACTTGACGTCGATGGGGTGGGGGACGACATTTTCGCCCGCCTCTTTTCCCTTCTAAACGACTGTTCTCCGCGCTTAGCGTGGCGACTACGGCATTTGTTGATTATTTTGTGGCGGTACCTATTGGATAGATAATTTCTACTTTTGTTGGCATTCCATGAAATAGGGACATATGGAGAACATAGAGAGGCAGAGAGGGGGAGATAAAAGCCGTGAATTGGTGTTCGTATTACACTTGTAACCGCAAAACAGTGGATAAAAAATAAGAGATGGCGCCCATGACCTCCACACTCTTGCTTGGAGGCCACCAAAGTCAGAGGGTGTTTATAAAACTTGTATTTAAAATCACTGTCACTATGAAGTGCTTCTCATGTCTGTTAAAACAGCTCTCTAATGCCCGGCAGTCACTCGGCCAACCCTCGGTTGGCGGACTGACGCGTACAGACGCCAGTGCCTCTGAGACCAGAACAACACACGACCATAGACCGATCTCACAATAATGCCCGGAATGCATGGCTCAGTTCCCCTCCCTCCCGGCTGGAGCTTATGCATCTGGTTTCTGACGTCGTAAACCTCGGATCCCGTCCGTCTTCAGACGCGATTCCGGCTCCGGCTCGGCTCCATCCACAACGACTCTTGCTCCGCTCCGCTCCCGCTCCAGTCTCGCTGACCATGTTCTCCCGTTCCGCTCCCGCGGCTACTCAGCAGCCGGTGGGGCGGCAGGTCACTCCCGTGGAGGTACACCGGCACTCGGTGCACTTGTCCGATAGTTCAGCGACCACCGTGTTCAGTCGGTACATGCGGCCGAAGATGTTACACCCGGACAGCTTCAGCGCACCTGGCGGGGCAGACACAGGGGTCAGCTGTTGGGTACCGTGGGTGGTGGGGACGATATGACAGTGAGATTGTTTTTGTGTGGGACATGACTTCAGAAATGGAACTCTGTTTCAAGTGCTGTTTAAGTTTGGAAAGTTGGCGATCAGTACTTCTACGAACATAGACCTTTGTATGATCTCACGCACGCATGAAGTCATGTGATGCATGCCTGTGATGCTGGCAAGACGATTTCCTGTTCTCCTGTGAAGTTTCCCTAAGAAGTTTCACTTACCGAACAGGGAGAACGGGTCGCCTCCCGTGGCGAGATCGTTGGTCTCCTCGATGGGCGGCGGAGTCGGCCTCTTTGTCGGCCGCGGCAGCGGAGGCCTCTTCACGCGCTCCTCCGGCGGCGGCAGCGGCTCCTTGGTCGTCGTCGTCGGCGGCGGCGGCCTCCTGGTGACCCTCTCGGTGGTCGGCGGGGTCCGTCTGGTGGTTGGTGTCTCCGGGGCGGGTGTCTCGGTGACCCGCTGGGTGGACGGCGGAGGCGGCTGGGTGGTGACCGGCGGGGCCGTGGTCGGCGGCGGCGGGGTAGTCTCCGGCGCCGGGCGCGGCCTCGGCCGGGGCCGCGGTCGCGGTCGGTACCGGGTGCGGTCGGGCCGACCGAACAGGGGCAGGATCGGCCGCCGGGACGGCTTGTCGCCGACCAGCGGCGCCGTGTCGCCCGCCGGCAGCGCGGCCGCCGGCCCGCCGCCGCGCGTGAAGGCCAGGCTGTCGAGCGCCGTCTCCGGCCGGCTCGACTCGGTGGTGGTGCTGCTGGCAGAGGCCAGGGCGTCCGCCAGCCGCGCCGGCTTCGGCCGGATGCGGCGCCGGCCCGGCGGCAGCAGCGGCGGAGCCGCCGTGGTAGCGAACACGTACCTTCTTGTCGTAAACACTGAGTCGCTGGTGGTGAACACCGGATCCCTGGTAGCGAACACCGGGTCCCGGGTGGTGATCACAGGTTCTCTTGTCGTAGCCACGGGCTCTCTTGTAGTGAACACCGGCTTCCTGGTAGTAATCACGGGCTTCGTAGTAGGAAACACGGGCTCCCTGGTGGTAGGCACTGGAGGAACGGCGCCCGCCAGCTCTCCCACCGGGCCGAGAGCTTCATCCACCGACTCCGTCACCTCCTCAGCTGTGGAACGTCGATGAGTGGAATGGTGTGAATGGACGGAACGATACAAGACAAGCTAACTCAACCTGAGTGAAAATTAACGGCACTGTCGTTATTTCAGTCGCCAATCATTGCAGTTCAGGAATTTCACTGAACAAATGCAGCATAAACAAGACTAAGCCGCTCTGTTTGACAGTCAGTGACCCTATCGATCCTCTCCCGCCCTGAGCACCGAGCCTTCGATGCCCCCTCAGCGCTCACTCACCACAGATGATCTGCGGGCAGCAGAAGCCGCGCCGTGTCCTCGCTCGGCAGCCGGCGGGCACCGGCGGACACTCTGTGTTTTGGCAGAGCACCCGTCCGCGGTAGCAGCGACAGGTGCGGCAGGGCTGCTCGGGCCGGTACACCAGCTCTCCGTGCCGGTACAGCCGCTCCTCCACGCGGCACCAGTCTGGGAAGGCGCCGAGAGCGACTGGTCAGTCGTTGGGTGAAAACAGTTTGTGCTACATAGCGGTGTAGTTGGTCCCTGTCCGGTTCCCTCCATTGCCTGGCGATGTGGTTGGTCCTGTCCCTCACCTGGCGGCGCGCGGGTGTCCTGCTGAGCTGGCGGGTCGGCGGCAGTCAGACCGAACCGGCTGCTCAGACTCTCCGCCGACAGCTCCTCGGGGTAGCGGTTCACCACGGCGTCCGCCGCCACGAACGGGATGATCCTGGGGAGACCGGCGGATACAGACGGTCAGCGCTACGGCGCAAACGTTTGTCTGGGACGTAACTCAAGACCCTTGTCGATGCGGTATAAGCAAAGCGTGTGCGCTTGTGAAATCTCAAACACGCTAGCAGGCTGAGTCAGTTTGCCAGAGCTTGCTAGGATGGATGTCATTAGGGGACTCGCAAGAGTTCAAGGTATGCATCTGTAACATATACCAGGCGGCAGTAATTTTCATTTGAGGTTTGGGCATTGCTCACCTGAGGTTGGGTAGTGCTGGCGGCAGCTCGTGTTCCTCGAACTCGGTGTTTTGCAGCACGTCCAGAGCCAGCCGCTCCTTAGGCGTTGTTGGCACCGGCCGAAGGGTGGTGGTTGGTGCTGTCCGCGGGGTCGTGCTAGGTGCCGGTCGGGGTGATTTGGTTGGCACGTGAGCTGAAGATGTAGCCGGCGCCGCCTCAGTGTTCGCTACGGGCCTCCCTGGAGGTGCAACCTCAGCCTCCGGGAGGGATTCCTTGCCATCCGTCTCAGTGCGCCGAATGGGACTCTGTTCTGATCCGGGCTCCGCAGAGACCGGGGAAGAACTGTGGTGGCCCGTCCCCTCGTGACCTGACCCTGTCAGCGGTTGCTCCGAGTGTTCAGAGCCGGTCGTCTCTGACGAGGTTCCTGCTAACGGCGACTGAGTGGGTCGGACCGTCGGTACCGGCACGGGTGTGGGTGCCAGGGTGGTCCGCAGAGGTGCCCTCGGCGGGATCCGGGTGGGGAGGCTGGAGACGGGCCGCCGCCCGGTGAGCAGGTCCAGGATCGAGAGGAAGCCGAGCGGCCGCAGCGGCCGCCGGGTGGTGGTGCTTGAGGTCGGGGGCGTGGTCGGCTCCGTGGAGGGCTCGTTGGCTTCTGACGGGTCAGACGGGACGCTGTCGTCGCCGGTGTCGCTACCCTCGGTCATACCGCCCGCGTCGCTGTTTTCCCTGGTTTTGATATTCTGGTCGGGCATTTCCGGCCCAGCAGCTTCTGAGGCTGTGCTTGTCTCGGCAGTATCTTCGGGTTGAAGTTGTTCTTGTTCACCTTTAGCATCAGGGTTTGACTCGGGAGCTCCTTCAACTGCCCCAGCAGGGCCGGTGTCTCCCTCAGTAGCAGACGCAGACTGAGACTCGACCACTGTATCGGGCGGAACGTCGGCGTCGGGTGTCAGTTCCGTCGTCTCGGGGTCCATCGCTGACTGGGATGTCGGCTCTGCTGGTGTTTTGGTCTCTTGTTCAGCCTTATCCTGGTGTTCTGATGAGGATTCTGACTCTGGCTCAGATGCTGGCTTTGATTTTGTTTCTTCGCCCGTTTCTGAAGATGATCCAGATTCGGTTACATCCTTTGGTTCCGATCCTGACTTCACTTCAGACTTCATCTCCGCTTCCAATTGAGAACTAGACTCAGTCATGGGCTTTGATTGTGACTCTGGTTCAGGCATTTTATCTACTTTCGTTTCGAGTGTAGTATCTGTTCTTGACTCCAATGTTGGCGTGAACTCAGGACCTGACTCAAGATCAGGTACTGGCTCTGACTTCGACCCCAATGTAGCCTCGGTCTTGGACTTTGAGTCGGCCTTTGACTCTGACTGTGATGCAAGGGCAGGCTCCGGTTCTTTCTCAGGTATGAGCTTCGGCGCAGACTGGAGCTCTGGCTCAGCGTTGGCCGTAGTCGTCTCTGCCTCAGGCTTCGGTTCTGAGTTGAATTCGGATTCTGGGCTAGATGATGGCTCTGATTCTGACTCGGGTTCTGGATTCGGTTCATGCTCATCATCGGGGTCGTATTCTGATTTGGAATCGGACACATGATCCTGATCTGGTTGAGCTGCAGGTTCTGTTTCAGGCTCTGGTTCAGGTTCCGATGCTGGTTCTGGTTCAGGTTCCGATGCTGGTTCTGGTTCAGGCTCGGACGTGGCCTCTGGTTCAGTTTCCGCCAGATTTCCTGGTTCAGACTCCAAGGCAGGCTCGGACTCAGGCTCTGGCTCGTGCTCGGACGCAGACTCTGGTTCAGCGCCTTTATGAACTTCTTGCATCACTTTTTCGCTAGTATCGTTTGCCTCGATCTTCGCTTCGCCGCCCTTTACAAAAGGGTGCTTCTCCGCCTTAATTTCCATATGCTCCTCGGGCATCAATTTTTCTTCTACAAGTATTTGCTCCTGCGCGATCTTGCCATCGGAAACAGATGAAGAATGATGTTCTGCTTCATCCTGCTCTGCGCCGCTACCCTCAACATCGTCTGTCGCTGCAGAGACTGCTTTCTCTGCCGAGCTGAGGGTGACCGGCAGCATCTCGTCAGAGTCCGCCGGACCGACCTCTGGGTCGTCGAAGGCCGTCCCCTCCAACATCTGACTGCCCGTCTCTGGCGCCGCCGCCTGCCCCGGCAGTGACTCGGATCCCGGCTCGTCCACGATCGTCTGCACCGCAGACTGGCGGGACTCGATCTCACTCAGCACCGCCTTCATGATGTTGGTGACGGTCAGCTCGGGCCGCGGCGGACCGGCCAGTCCGGAGCCCTCCACGTCGTCCTCCTGCTGCGCGGCCGCCAGCGCGTCCTCGATCCGCCGCTCGTCCTCCGAGTCAGCCAGGATGGGGATCACGTGCCCGGAGAACCCGGCGAACGCCCCGGTCATCATTACCGGCCCGCCGAGCGGCGCCACCGCCGGTGCCGGGTCAGCGGCTACGTCCTCAGCGGAAAGGGTAAGGGCGGAGGGCGCGTCCTCCGCTGGGGCCGGGTCGGCGGGCGCGTCTTCAATGGCAGGGGTAGGGTTGGCGTGTAAGTCCTCCGCCGCCAGGCTCTCGACGTCAGTCGCCTCACCAGAGCCCTCCTCCACGTCCACCATATCGCCTGCCGCGGTCTTCTCTGCTTCAGTTTCTCCAGAGACGGCAAGTGTACTCTTGTCTAAGATCGTCTCGTCAGCCGGTGCGGCGTGTCCGGCGCCATCCTGTTGACCCGTCGGTGCCGCCGTCTCAGCCGCCGGCAGCTCGTCGACACGCAGCTGTCGTCGCCGACTGGCGATCTCGTTACCGGAGAGGACCAGGTCCCTGGCGGTGAGGAGGCCGGTGTCGTGCCGGTCGAACCAGGGCGGCAGCCGCTGGCCGCCCGACACCTTGAGGCCGGGGCTCTTTACACTGAGACGGAAGGTGACGGGCGCCGACCACTGCGGGGCTGGGGCCCGGGCCGGGGCCGGGCGCACCGAGCCGTAGTCGACGGCGACCACCGAGCCCACCCCGACCGCCTCCTCCTGTGGGGAAGGAGAATAGCTGCCGTCAGTCAGGGTATGACGGCTTCACTTAGTCCGGCCGGTGTTAGGAACAGGGCCAGATAAATGTATGGAAGCAGCATTGTAACAACCACCTGGTGATTCAAATTGCTATTAGCACACTGAAACATATATGAAGCAGGATGCCTCGCAAATTGATGTACCAAGTTGTCATTTAATATAAACTGACAGGTTTGATACGGACGTTGGATGCAGATTGTTTACGGCGTGTCACAGAACTCACCGCCGGTGCTGGGTTCGCTGAGCGAGCGAAACTGACCGGACGACCTGTGTCGGGCTCCTCAGTTTCCACCGCCTGCAGACACAGGGGCACGGGTCAGCGTCCGTAGTTCCCGGGGAATCAGGCACACAGGGACACAAGACTTGTGACTAGGGAGGAAGGCCGTCTATCCTAAATATTGGTTAGCTGTAGATTCTGCGGCTGTTTTTACACACACACCACATGTACCGTATACAGATACAGAGGTAAATGAACTCATACTCGTAGGTTCATTGTGTAGGGTTGCATGCTTATTCTCCGTCTTGTCGGAAACCTATATTTTGATTATTTCAAAGCGTGGCTCATTCGCTGTTGATGTTGACGGTCTGTGTCGTCGTGGCAGCTCGCCAGGTGAACAAAGGCCCGGCTACTGCGCACCGGGGCCGGTGTTTTCGTCAGGCGACCTGCGCCTGATCAGAGGGATGTCGCTGTCCCCACGCCGTGACTCGGCATCCCGCTCAATGGCAACACCAAATAAATCCGGATATTTCCGGCTGGGCTGGTCGCTGCGGGCCCGGCCGGCCGCGGTCAATGTTTTCTGGGACTGGCTCGGAGGTCAGGTATGATCTCGGAGACTGTGGCGCGATTACAATTCATCCTGCCCGGTAACGGGGTGCGGATGGAAAAATACTCCACCCTGTACGGGCGCCGGAGGCTATGCCTCAGCACACGGGCCATGTTACGTCATGAATTGACAGGGGCTCCAGCCCAGAATGGACTGTCCTTATCAATAAATGTCCGCTGTTCTTGGTAAGTAACGACTGATCACGGAGCAGCTCCCCGTAAAAAAACGGTATTGTTTCCTTCGCTCTCTGACATTGTTTCCTGGCAATCTACATCACACTGGTGTGAGTGACACTGCTCTTATTCTTAATTACCATTACTGATTACTTAAAAAAAAACTTTTGATCTTGATCAATTTTAAGTGCATAAGCTATCAGCACAAGAGCTCACAGACTTCGCAACACCGCGATTAGCACTGGGTCAATCATTTCACCCCCTCCCCTTCCAACGAAATTTGGTTGTGTCGGGGCATGAGTCCTCCAATTCCTACCTGTGCCAGTGAATCGGTGACGTCTTCGTCTTCTATATCCTCATCCAAGTCCTCCTGATCCAGGGTCGTGCGGGCCACCAGACCGGCGTCAGGCAGGCTGGCCGCTGGAAATAGACGAAAAACGTTCAGTTTTACATCATCAATACGGAGAGCGTTTGTTCTCTTCCAAGCCAGGCTTGGAGCAATCAGTTCCTCTATCATTAGAACACGGTGGTAACAAAATAGAATATTCAAATGAGTTATCACCAAGAGTTCTGCTTTTGCTTAAATTGTGAGCTCATTAAATCAACATGGACTTCAAGGCCCGCCCGCTATTCCCGATCCGGGCATTGCGGCACAGTCTGACTCTAGGCGCCGACGTGCCTGCCATCTAGTGGCGGAATAATAACCTACCAGCCGGCCCACGCCGCACACCGCGCGCTAGTGAGCGGGCCGCTGTGGTCTTTGCCAGCCGTCAGGCGCTACTCACAGCAGTTGTAGGAGACGGGGCAGCACTTTCCGGGCTCCATGATGGGCGCGCAGCCCTCCAGAGCCGGCGAGCACTGGACGGGGGCGCAGCGGACGTGGCCACGGAGACAGAAACAGGAGCGGCACGGCCGGGCCAGGTCCGTCACCCGAGAGCCCTCCGGGTACGTCCGGCCGCGCATGGTGCAGTCTGAGAATGGAGGGGAGGGGGCGTTATTGGAATCAACTGATCCATGTCGATTAACTGAAAAGAGATGAGGCCAAAAAACAACTCCGTGACGTTGATCTTATAGGTCGCTCCATACGGACAGAATGAATAGGTGGCAGCCGTAAACATTACTCATACATTGCATATTTTTCGAATTCCATAACATTTAGAAAATAGAATGGACGAAAAGGTTTGTCTTCTTTTATTTTATTTGTCCTCTTTTACTAAACTGCTCCAGTTCAGCTGGAATGTGAACACATCCATTACCTCGCGATGGTTTCTCGGTGGTGGTGGTTGTGGTGGTGGTTGTAGTCGTAGTAGCCGACTCTGAAAAAATATAGGAACGTGGTGTTCATCAATGCCAAACAACTTTCATCGGGCTTATAACCCCACCCAACTAGATACGGATTGGTTGACGGTGACGGGCAAATTCGTCTGCTGAATAAGAAATTGACCATGGCCGCGCCAAGTGCTTCCACTATTATTCTACTGTAAGGACTAGTTTTTTATCTCCAAATTTTTAGCCAGTATCTTTTTCCACATTCGATATCTTTTCGTTCTACTTCCGTTCGCATTGAACATACAGGTAAGTGCTAAAATCAGGTTGCTGGTACGATATTAGTAGCGCTGATGAGGTTTTAATATGATTACTGGTTAGTTTAAGCATACAAGCAATGCCAGACACGAGATTTGTGTACATATTTACACCAAAGATCACATGCGTACGTCGTCAACGTAGTTTGTTGCGAAGTATGCTATTCGTGTGTCATATACTATAGACATAATGCACAAGTTGCATCCAGCAATGCACAAAAACTACGTTCCTTATCGGCCATCCCGGCTGTTTGTGAGCCATATTTTGCCGCTGTCCGCCTGTCTGTCAGCTCAGGTCAGGTCAGGTCAGACTGGGTCACTCCCTCCTTACTGCAGTCGTAGTCGGTGGGGCAGCAGGTGCCCAGCGCCCGGTACCGGGGCCGGCAGCCCTCCTCCCGCAGCGTGCAGCGCGGCTGGACGCAGCGCTGCCGGCCGCGGATACAGAAGCAGTACTGACACCGCGACGAGGTCAGCATCGCCGAGCCGTCGGCGTACACAGTACCGGCCACCGTGCAGCTGCCTGTCGTACGGGCCCAGTACGGTCAGATGGACGGACCCACACAGAGGACCCGGCGGATCCAGGGACACCGCAGCGAGCCCCGCGGACCCAGCGGGACTGTTAGGTGGCGCCACCGGAGCCGGCTGCTGCAGCGCCACTGAGGTTGGCATTTGGCCGGTCGCCGGGATGGGATAGGGGAACCGGCATCCATCGCCGGCTGTCGCTGGGACAGGCCTCACTGTACAAGGATGCGACGCGAATGTTAACGATGCAGTCTATAAACAACGTTAGTGGCGAATTACACACAGAGCACAGTTTTACATCTGTGAGGGTTGAGACATGCAGGGAAGACAAACAATGCCGGACATTCCAACAAAAACAGCGTGTTAGCATGGGCTTAGCTTGGAACATCATGCCATTAGCATTATGCTACACCTTGGTGACGTTATGAGTAAGTGCTTTCTGTTCAGCCGAGTCAGTTAGTTGAGCCCGGCGGTGGGTGTGCCGCTCTCACCATCTCCGCCCTGGAGGTCCGCTAGCCCGGTGGAGTTGCCCAGCTGGAGCTTGGCGGCCAGATCCGCCACCTCTGCCGACGGCAGGTCGTCCCGCCGCTGGTCTCGGCGCACGGTGTTGATGTCGTGGTCTGGGACGGAAGGGTGAGGCGGGTGTGATGGTCGATATGCTAGATGAAGCTAGCTTCTCAACGTTTTTTTATGACGAACACCCATTCTGAAATATATTTCTGAAGTTCTGCAGCATCTAGTTTTTCACCCGGATCACAACCTGTAAAGCACCGGCTCTTCGTTCATGGGCGATGCATAAGGTTGAAGATACGATAAACCTAAATAGCTGTGAGCGGCAGACTGACTCACCGCAGATGAGCTCTGAGCAGCAGCGGCCGTTCCTGGTCACCAGGAAACAGCCGGCCGGCGGTGGCACTGGGTACGTGGGACACACGCGCAGGTGGCACGTGATGGTCAGAGAGACCGGGTGGCACGTGCAGTTGAGACACGGCTCCGTCGACTTGATACTGGCGCCGGGGGCGTGCAGCTGACCGCCGTACGTGCAGCCGGCTGGGGGCGCGGGCAGAGGGGCGGTCAGGGCACAGCAGCAGCCGCGCGCCCCTTCCCCTCTCCTCACCTCCCCACACCCTCCATCGAGAGCGGCCGGCCCTTTGAACAGTTCTCCGGACCACCCTCCCATTTGTTTGCTGCTCTGGAGTGGTGGGTCGCTGGCCATTAGGGTGGATCGTGGACCGGTCGGTGACGGTTTTATGGGCCTTGAGACGGGCCGACGGCCCATCAGCCGACCGGCCTTCTCACTGGCCGGGATGGGACAGAGCAGCACCCGTTTCGGGAGACAAGATCAGCTGGGGGCCCGGCCCCAACACACGGTCAGCTGGGGCTCGAAACACCGAAAAACGGGGCCAGTCCGACAGGACCTCAAGACTATGCGCTGGGTGGCGCCTAAAAGTAGCCCATCACACGTCGTCACACAGCTAAACTTCCCTGCTAGGAAGACCGGATAGCTGAAGCAAACAGTTCCGTACAATCCTTTCTTAAAGTACTCGGCATTATGCCACATTCTAACTGGTTTGCACATCGACGTAAGAGAAGCCGGTTCCTGACTAATTATGGTGCTGGTCTAAGGAGCAAAACCCTAACCAACTTTGAACGCTGCGAGCTGTTTTCACCTTTCCGCCTGGTGAGCAGCGCTGCCAGGTTTGAGGAGCGGTCACTCTCCTCGGATTCGTCCACATCCCCGTCCGCCTGGTCCACTAGCTCGTCCACGGCTTCATCAGTCGCGGAGCTGATTACCACAGAGTCGGCAGGGTCGGCGGCCGCCTCCACGGTGACATTGGTCACCTCCCCACCTGGGGTCGGGAAGATAGCATCACGTCATTCATTGTGTATTTTAGCGTGGGAGGGGGCGCGTCGTGTGGGCGCTGTGACTAGGATGACCCGGTACTTTTCCGATGAATGAGTGCCACCCGGCGGGGACCGGTCACGCTCCATTCATAGCGGAACGCTCGCCCACTCGACTGAGATCGGCCGGTGGTGGACGGTGGAGGGAGGGGGAGGGAGTTGCGCGGTGGAGGCTTGTGTCTGGCGTTGGACGACGGTATGTGAGATGGGCTTGCCGGTTGAGAGTCAAACGTTAGGAGGGTGCGTGTTTGGTTTGATGGGCGTGATATAGTACATACACGCATGGAGTACGTAGCATGTGTCTGAAATTGTACGGCCACGGTGCGATGCAGTCAAGTTGTACGGACTTCCACCCAATCGCTCCCCTTTCTGAACAAGTCTGAAACGAGTTGGTACGCTGCCCTTCTGCTATGACAGAGCTCACCCAATGTGCACCAGGGAGGTCCAGGGCGAGGCCAGGGGTGAGATGATGAGCTACCTACTTATTAGCTGTCTGCTGCACCGCAGTCTACACTGCTGTCCACGGTAGTAATTTCATCTGCAGCGATGATCCAGTCGCTCGGACGAGCTGCAACAAGCAGCTAATGTTCCTTCATCCGACCCAGTTGCTGGAACTTAGTTCGCTTAACAGCTGATGATTGTATGGTTTCGAATACCTATTCGGTAAAATTTATCACAATTACCAGATAATTGGCATGGGCCGTTAGGGCGTTTAACGCACATCGTAAATTTCATAAACACCCGGGGAGACTAACTTCATGGAAATGAAGTGCAACCTGTCGACACTCGCCAGCTTTTTGCAGAGAAGCCCGCTGTAGTAATTGCCAGAACTTCCTGGCCTCCGACGCAAAGTGATCGGCCCTATCAGTTTACGTCTGCGCTGCCCCGGCTCCCTGGAGCCCTCCCTCGGCCGAGGCGGCGCACACGGTCTGTTTGCAGGTCGTTCCTTTGTCCGCCCCGGGTGGGCGTTTTTCCCATGGACGGCCAGCCAAGGTCAGTGATGCGGTGGGCCAGGCGGGCGCCTCCCCTCCCGCTGGAGGAAGACGCGCCCGGCGCCGCCTCCCCCGCGCCGCTCCCCGCCTCCCCCGCGCCGCTCCCCGCCGACCGCGCGCCCTCCCCGCCGCCGACTGCCGGCCCACAGCACACACCCTACCCACAGGACCGCCGCGCGCCGCGGAGGTGCCGAGTCCACCGCCCACCCGCCGAGTGTTTTTGTCCGACAATGTAAAATAGGGCAATATTTTTAGGGCGGCCTCTCAATAGGAGGCACCGTTTCCCGAGAAAACAAGCGAGGTAGCTTCATTGATATTCCGTCTCGCTACCCACCCAGCGTCAGCTGGACACCGAAATGCTGACTTTTGTGGTCTCATAGCCTTTTTTGGTCTCGCTGGATGTGTACCAAGTGTGTTGCCGAGCATGCTTTTTTTGCAGATAAGTAGGAAGATAAGTTCCAGATAAGTCACTGTCCTAGAAAATCAATGGTAAGGACAGCGCACTGTCCATAGTTCTTCTCATTCAGTCGCACATCAGTGAACCTCCTTTTTGCTGCCTAGTGACGTGGTACCGGTCAGAGCCAGCCGTTCACTATGGCGCGGTATATACCGGTCAGAGTCAGCGTTCGCTAGTTATGCACGCTGCCGGTAATCCAGGAGGCTGTGGGGCCGGCAGAGCGACACGCCGACGGCCGACCGGTCGCGGCGGTGACCCCGGCAGTGCGACACCGTCTGGCCCGCTGAGCAGGACCTGTGGACGGCCCCCGACCGCCGGCCGACGGTCTAGCTCGACAGTGAGCGGCCGACCGGCACATATCATAACTCATGAGACAAACAATTCCACTGACTGGGCTCAACAAGAGCGATACAACACGGCTGAGTGAGTTTGACGATAACGACACCGTGTATCACTGGTGGCCACCAAAAACTAACAGCAGCAGACCACTAATGACAGGGTTTGGTCTCTCACTGCCACTAAACATCCCTCGAGTGTACTCGAGTGGCCGTAACGACCGAGCTGACAATGGTCAATGGCGCTCGAGTGTCATCTGAAGCTACTGGCTCTGTACGCTGAGAGCCCTCAATGACTGGCAGTTTTATAATGGCCCGCCGCTGCTCGTAAGATGCTCTCCTGACGGGTCCGCTTTGTCCGCGGTAATTGTGACACTGTGGGTGTCTGAGCGCGGCTCACAGCTGTTGGGTCTGGTCAGGTGCTGGAGATAGCCTCCGATCGGGACGGGGCGCGGCAGATGGCCCACGGCCCGCAGCCATCCGCCAGTCATCCCGTTCCCAGCATCCTCGGCCGTGTCGCCTCGTACGGCTGTTGACTCTTCAGGAAACGCACTGTCATCTATCCCCAGTCAATGACTTCCCATCCATTGGTTGTACATTGAGTGTATTCCTGCGTGATAAACTCGATAATGTCGCCTGTTTTTCCGACACGACCCAACGTTATCAACGTTTTCGACGAGTCAAGTTTTCATTCATTTGTGATTAAATCAGTATCTGAGCCCAATGCTTCGACGTTGAACGATTTAAATGCCTTTCAGCCATTGAATACCCAATTCAGGGAAACCACCTTATGAATATTTGCACACACTGATGGTAACATTTTATGAGCTTCATCAGGCCGGCTGGATGATTCTCATGAAATGCAAGTATCCTGATGCAACTATCTGTTGAAAGCCAATATTTCTTGTACGTAACACAAATGCTGGAGACTGCAACAGCGCACACCTCAGTAGCACATGGAAACTAGAGACTGCAGGGCGACACAAGAAGGCATTCCTATTGGATGGAATTTAAACTGACCACTTGTCACAAGTGACTTGTAACATTTTACTGTTGAAAGGTAGGAAATAAGTCGGTGATTATTTTCTCGGAGATCTCGGAATACACTTACGAATGAAATTTTATGCGCGTCATTATTACGCCAGCCTTTCCTCACGCTTTCCACGTGTTGATCGCCGATCCCACCTAGATCCACGATACGATTAGATAACAGAAAATGAATGGTTACTGCGTGAGATGAGTGAGATGAGTGCCAACTCTATCCAAACACTCTGCATCAGATTATCAGCACACGGGGGCCGGGGGAGGCGGGGCTGGCCAGTGACCTATCCGAGGTGCGCTCAGTCTTGTCGGTACATCGGTGGCAGTCTGTGCGTGCCGCGCGTACTGTGGGGTGCCCATCGAGCCGGAGACAACGGCACGCCATTAGCATGATCGGCGGCGCGTGTTTCTGCGGGGCGCCCACCTCTGAGTCGCGGTCATCGCCCCCTGAGCGGCCGGGTCAGCCGGGGGCCCGGAGGCTCACTGCCGGCTCTCCACTCACCTGTCTGCGCCGAGAGGACGGGCCCGGGCCGGCCGGCCAGCACGGCCACCCCGGCCCACAGCAGCGCGAGCAGCCGCAGCGCTCCCGGTGCGGCCATGACCGCCGCTGCAGCACAGGTGCCGGCCGCGGCGACCGACGGCGCTGGTCAGCCCGCGCCGCCGCCGGCCGGCACTCAGCGCAGCCGGCCGCCGCCGCCGGCAGGGCTGAGACACCGCGCCGAGACCGGCCGCAGCTGCACTGAATCCGCGCCGTCGGCCGGAGAGCGTTACCCCTCGGAGACGATTCAGATTGGCACGGGATGCGGCGGAAGTGCCGGCCAACTCTCAGCCAGAGGCCGCCTCTTCGGGATGACCCACCCGGTAACTGCGAATGGCTGGTCAGAGCGAGCCGCTGTTGTATCATCTCAATACAATCTCCATCAGAGAGATCGGGCTGATCCTCGTGACAGTGGGGTTGCACGCGGGGTCAACGACTCCATCATGTACCATCTAGAACATTCTAGGTTATCCCGTGGCCTGAATGACGTTTTTGACATGCCTCTCATGTCACGGAGAAGTTCCAAAATCCTTATTGCACGACGGATATACGTTGGAGTTGTAAACGAATGCTCGGTACGGTACACACCACTAACTACACACACTACTAGTATCAGCTGGTTCACAACGCAATGCGGGAAAAAGGGAATGGTCGTCGTACACGTGTGAGGATGACTTTCCTCCAGACCATTTGTTCAGTTTTTAGCATCAAATCACTTAACTTACTGGCTTTAGGGAGAGAATTTAAGCAAGTAGATATCAGACAGGCGCGTGCAATATGACCGTCATCGTGGTACGAACGCGTGGAAACCGCAATATCATGCGCACAACGGTATCTCCGACACGGTTTGAAAACTGGAAGATTGCACCAATGCATGCAACGGTAACAAGGTCAGGGACTGTTGCATCGGTCATTGTACGGGTAAAGTAGAATCCGTAGTGTCCCGTGTAGCGCCATCAGACCACGGCAATGGTAACATCAGACTGTGGGAGTGTGGTCATTGTTCAGAGACTGCAACAATTCATGTGACGAAAACACCAGATAAGAGACTGTGCAGTGTGCAGTGGCTCATTTAATAATATCACCACGATTTAGACTGTAACGTTTCATAAAACAATAACACCGGACTCGCTAATCATCCTTCAACAATGCAGAGTGGAGACTGTCGTGCTTCATGTGAGAAGAGCACCAGGTGGGCGACTTCAACGGCACGTGTGCCAATAACACCAGACTAGCCTCCGCCTATACCATTGAGGGGAGACTGCGACAGATCATATTGCAATAACACCAGACTGAAAGATCAACATACAGCCCCTTATGGAGACGGCAGCGGCTGAATATGTCACGGTAACACCATATTCACATGAGCTGTTTGGGGACTTCAATGGCCCGTAGGGCAATAACACCTGGCTGGCTCATTCACTGTCCTCATATCACAAACTGTACGGGGACTGCAACCGCTACCAATTTGACGAAAACACCAGACCGGAGACTGCAACGACTCATGTGATACGAACCCCAGTCCAGCGCAATCGGCCGTAACACGTTATGGAGAGTTCAACGGCTCTTGAGACTGCCACCAGACTGGTTGGACGGACCATAACTCTTTACCGAGACATCGGTGGCTCATATGACAATAGGACCGGATCTACAGAGTCCAGACATTTTATTATGGAGACTGCAACGGTGCAATGGTCAATAACACTGAAAAGGCTCAGGCGGTCGTCGTCGTACGGATGCTTGGACGAATCATTATAAAAGAATTTAACTTAGAGTTCGATGACTTCTAGTACATGTATGCTTACATTGGCAGGTGATGGGTAAATAAATTCATCGCCACGAACTGTTATCTGTCATTGTGGCTTTTGAATTGATTCAGATGCTTATCAACCTTCCTATGTTTTTATCTGCATTGCCAACGTAGGTATTTTTAGCTGAAGAATCGTCACAGCCGGAGGAGCAGATATTCTAACTGGATTTAGACGATCATTTTACAGGTAATCATGCATTCCTTTTCATCCCAACCTTCAAAAGCCCCCATCGCGTCACCGTGTCCCATGTATTGACGCCGGACGAATATGTCCACTGACCCTCTGTCAGCGGCGGCAGTGTCCGCGTTTGGTGGAGTCCGTCTCCGATCGACCGGTGACGCGGCGGAAGACAATGTCCCTGGAACAGTTAGGTAGGCGGTCCGCGGTCGCAGACGCTGTCGGCACAGAGACGGAATCGGCGACCGCTCTGAATTTAACGAGCTCTCCATTCATCACCTCCCGCCGCTCGGCTATCAGCTGTGGAGGGCGAGCATCTGATTTCATCAGCGCCGCGACTCCCACACACCGAATATGGACGGACCGGCTCCCGCTGTCGTCAGGGAAACTGCGAGCCAGGCGGCAGGCTACGACCCTGGTCCGGGGCTGTTCGAATTATGGGGGTACTGCCAATATGGGGTTCGGCACTCGACACCATACCGCCACTGTTTTCACGTCATCAAAATGATGAATAATATTCTCAATTTATGAAAACGCCCAAACATCTACAACCTGTAATCGTCTATTTTACGTCTAACTTTACAATTAGATGAATCGTCTAGCTCCGTCACGGGATATCTATGTGTTCACTCCTCAGCGTTCATAATACCTGTTACAGTTCAAATTACGGTGTGATTCCCACAGCCACCTGTCCACTGTTCCCAGTACCGACGGCTCGTCTTTCCGTATCTGCGGGCGCCGGTCTGCCGTCGGCGCGCTGGCCGTCCGTGACGCTCCGTGACTCACCGTGACGTTCCGTGACGCGCCGTATCGTGGCCGGGGTCCGTGACGGCGCCAGGTGGTGCCGTGTGACCGGAGCGCCGCTCCCGGTGGTGATGGGGACTGCACGCGCCGCTGAGCCAGGCCGGCCAGGGGCACACAGCGAGGATGGCTGAGCATGACCGGGGGCACTCAGGGAGGATGGCCGCGCCCGGCCGGCCGGGACACAGAGGACCGCCGAGCAAAGAAGATGCGTTGAGTCTCAGTCGTGTACAGGGCAGGCGTTAGGTCACTGACTAACCTGATCAAAGACTTCTGTCGAACTGGCTAGCTAGCTTATCAGCTAAACCTGATCGTGCACAGAAATGCCAACTGACCTGAGGGTTCACGACTATCTCCACCGTACAGCTGGTCCTGTTGGCCGGTCGGCCTGACCTATTGGCTGACCATCCTGGCCTGTCGGTCGGTCAGCCTGACCTTTCGCTGTCCAGCCTGCTCTGTGGATCGGTCAGCCGCCCAGACCGCTGTCTGTTGATCGGTTAGCCGTCCAGACGGCGCTCCGCTCTGTTGCCCGGCTGTTCACTGACCTCTGGTATAGTCACGGAGTTCCGGTCCGCTGGTCGTAACAGCGGACAGCCAAACTGTCCCTCCTATGGTTGTTATTCGGTTAATTTTATTTGATGTCTTCATCTAACCATAAAGTTCCCACAACAGCACAATCTTGAGAAGAGAGATTCATTAATATTTTATTTATCGAATGAATGACGACAGACATTAATGGCATAGAAACAAAGTGGTGCATCGCTGGTACTTATTGCGAGATGTGAATGGAGAGGGTCTACCGTGAACAGTAGCTCTGAACAGCCTGAAAAAGGCTAATCTCTCGCAACTTTTAATTCGACTGGTCAGACCAACCAGCTGGGAAACAAACGAAAGAAACGCTGAAGACTGGGTACTTTTTAACTAGTTATACTTATCTGCTTTTGTGAATGAACGCATGTAGAGATGTGTTGTGTGTATGCATAATCCATAAGCATGTGCCATTGCTTGCATGCATCGCTGCATGTTTGAGATGTTGATAATTGCATGAATATAAGCGTGCACCACTGAGCTGAACTATTCTAAAACGATTCGGAAACAAATTGAGCAATCCGATTCTCTCGACCGACATGGTCGTCCTGTCTAGGTCTATAGGCGGCGTCCAAACGCCCCTGTTCAGATGACCCCGTGGCCGTGACGACTAGCTGCGGCCGATGACGACACTCGTCCGAACCGGAAAACTGAACCGCGGTGCCCTATACTATCAGTAATATCAGTGAGGTGATGTGCCCGCGCACCGCCCCAGTCTCTGCCTCAGACCGGATGTCACCGGAGGTCAGCGGGGCAATGAAGCGCGCGACAAGATGGCACACAGTCCTTACAATAAATACACGCACCTTTTGAACATGCCCTCTGCGCGCGGAGCGGAGCCGCCTCAGACTGCAGGCCCGCACCCACTGGCCACCGGGGCCCCGTAATGCCTCGTCCTCTGCAGCAGCCTCCGACAGTCCACGGGCGCGCTCGGCCTCACAGACACACGTACAGTCAGTCACACGGACAGTCCTCACTCGCTGACAGTTCCCGTCCAACACTCTGTCGGACCGCCACACTGTTCGCCACGGCTCCAAGCCTGACAGGACGTTTCACTCAGTCCTTTCAGACGGCACACGACATTACCCAGAGCGTGAAGCTTGACATTCCGCGCAACTTTTCTCTCTTTCTGCACAGATCCATGAGACATTCAGCCAGCATCATGCTTAGCCCGCAGCAGGAGCACCACGCTCGCAACAGAATTAGTCTTGCACCCGCAGTAGCTTCAGCACCGATATGGTCAGCGATAATCAGGCTCACACGAACCGTGCCTGTCTGTTCAGCGCGATGTTGATCGCTGTTCTTCTCTGAAAGGTGGCTTCTCCAGGGCCAGTGGAGCAGCACGGAGCGGCCTCACGGAGTCGTCCTTCCTCCCGATACGGGTTTCATAAGGTGAGCTGCCCGTGTGCCTCTTCCCTGCCAGACTCGACCCATTGGTGTGTCCTTCCAACACTCATCAGCGACGTCCCGCGTCCCCTCAGAAGTGGATGGACACGAACGGCGAGCTCCTGCCGTGGCCCTCCTCTCCGTCCCCGGAGCCGGTCTCCTCCAGAAAGACGACGCCGCTGCCCTCGGCCTCGATGACGGGCGTGTCGGCAGTGATGGCCGACAGCAGGCCCTCGTCCATCAGGGCGTCCAGCACCGTCTGCTGCACCAGGTCGTGCAGCTCGTCAGACGCAGACGGGCCCAG